TTCTTCTCTTCTCCGGTCGCCCCCCTCAGCAAGCAGTGTGCTGTGGGGGCACCCATGTGGGTGCGCTCCCGAGCACAGGATGTGTGAGTGCATAGACACACAAAGCATTGATAAGCCACGCGCCCCCCACACACTTTTGACTTTAAAACCACCCGAAATAGTTTTTAAGTCTTCCTCAAAGGTAAGAGGGTTGGAAAAGACCGATCTATCCCGTCCGTGCTCCCACCATGGACTCTGCAGGGTCAGCACTTAACACCTCCCGCTGCGTCAGGATGGAGCAGCCCTTTAAATGCAGGATGTTTCGGAGCCATTTGTGGTCGCATCGCGGAGCACTTGGCTCTGCAGGTTATTGAGAAATCTCCCCATTAGTCTGCATTACGGAGTTCAGGAAAAGCTGCAATTCTCATGCCAAGAGATGCCATTGTCTCCACCGCAGCCTCTCGAAGCCTCACCTCCGCAGAGAATTGAAAAACTGCAGCTGGTAAAAATGCAAACGCTTGTTGCTGTATTGTGTGCATTCTGTGATGGCGCAAAGGCTGATCCTTCATTTCTGGGGGGGGGGGGGGGGCGACAGGGGGGTTAAATTGTCTACAGACATGCTGTTCCATCTACTGTGGTCACTAGGAGGGGGTCTTGTTGATTGGATAATTCCATTTAGAGTGGAGAACATGCAGCAATGATATTCTGAGAGGCTAGCAAGTGATTAAAGAGAGCCTGTCACTTTGCCCATGCAGGCACCCCCCCACTCCCCCCCCACAGCTTTGTACAGAAAGGGGCATGATGGTGCCCGATGTAGTTCCCCGAACTGGCCACTAGATGTTGCTATATCTAGGGGTATTAACCTGCACTATAACTGATAACTGCTGTGGAACTTCTTCCTTTGTCCTTCTGCAGTGTGGACAGGGTTAAACTGAATATTCATTAAAGCAGAAGTGCAGCAGCCATCTTTAAGGAGACCACTTTGCAATGCTCGCGTATAGAGTGTCTCTAGTGCAGGGGGCTTTGCTGATCCATGGCTTTGTAGGGAAGGGGCATGATGGTGCCCGATGTAGTTCCCCGAACTGGCCACTAGATGTTGCTATATCTAGGGGTGGTAACCTGCACTATAGCTGATAACGGGTGTGGAACTTCTTCCTTTGTCCTTCTGCAGTGTGGACAGGGTTAAACTGAATATTCATTAAAGCAGAAGTGCAGAAGCAATCTTTAAGGAGACCACTTTGCAATGCTCGCCTATAGAGTGTCTTTAGTGCAGGGGGCAGCCATCTTGGCCGGGTCTGATTCAATAATGGAGGAAGACGATTGGCTGGGCAAAAGAGCAAGGGGCGGTGGGGTCTGCAGGCTGCTGAGGAAAAAAGGAGAGGACTGTCTTGAAGCAAACAGGTAGATGCAAAAGGAAAGACTATGTCACGGTCAGGCTCGGTGGCCAGTAGCTATAGCCGTAGAGAGGATCTCCCCGACCAGCTGGATAAGTGCAGCAGTAGGTCGTCCTGGTGGATGACTCACCCAAGGTGCAGAATCTAAGCACTAATTGGTGATCACCAGACCTCCTGATGGTGGGAATGGGTTTTGCTGTGTGTTAGTGCCAGGTTGTGGTCCTCAGGATTGCCTTAGCAGGAGGTGCGCAAGTAGTAGCAGATATAGCAGGTATGGATCAAGCAGAGGTGTAGTCCGTATACAAGCAAAAGGTTGGTAATGAGTGTTCGCGGGTTAGGATCAAGCAGAAGCGTAGTTGAGGAACACGCCAAAAGTCGATAAGTGGTCGCGGGTTGGGATCAAGCAGAAGCGTAGTTGAGGAACACGCCAAAAGTCGATAAGTGGTCGCGGGTTGGGATCAAGCAGAAGCGTAGTTGAGGAACACGCCAAAAGTAGATAAGTGGTCGCGGGTTGGGATCAAGCAGAAGCGTAGTTGAGGAACACGCCAAAAGTCGATAAGTGGTCACAGGTTGGGATCAAGCAGAAGCGTAGTTGAGGAACACGCCAAAAGTTGATAAGTGGTCACGGGTTGAGATCAAGCAGAAGCGTAGTTGAGGAACACGCCAAAAGTCAATAAGTGGTCGCGGGTTGGGATCAAGCAGAAGCGTAGTTGAGGAACACACCAAAAGTCGATAAGTGGTCACAGGTTGGGATCAAGCAGAAGAGTAGTAGAGGAACAAACCAAAGGTCGGTAACAAGTGGTGGCTGGTTGGGATCAAGCAGGAGCGTAGTTGAGGAACAAACCAAAAGTCGATAACAAATGGTAGCTGAGATACAGACAGCAGCAGGAGGGACAAGAACGAGATATTGGCTGGAGAGAGCACAATAATCTGGCAAACAGGAAGTGCAAAGGCGGGGCTTAAATAGGATGTTCATGGGAGGAGCAAAAGGTTCAAGGCAAAATCATTCAAGAATTTACTCAAGCTTCTGTCCAGCATCCCAGGTGGCTCAACAAGAAGAGACATTTCCAGACATAGAGAGAGGTTGCAGGATCAGACCCGAGTCCTTCCAGACTGGACTGCAGGCTGAACAGAACTAGCTGACCACTATCGGGAAACGCAAAGAAACAACTCACCTTGCCTCAGAGGTTGGGAACTTTCTCCCTGGGAGGATCTGATTTGGATGCCTGGTGAAGCTGAACTATAGTAGAGAGCACTCCCACCGCTTGTAAGGAAGGAAAAGAGGGACTGGCTCAGCAGGATTGAAAGAGAGGAATCACAGCAACTTCTAGTTTGACTTGAACTGGGCTTTCACTGAATAGAGCATGTGTCCAGAGACCCAGGGGAGGACACCCTGGGACCAGTAAGAGACTAACGTCATACAAGTTAATTTGTTCTGCCTTCTTCGAGGGCCCCAACTTTGCCAGCCAACCTCATTTTTTTTCATCAATCACGGGCCAGTGTGATACAACTGGGACTGTTATAGCAAGTTAGGACTGTCATTATATACTGTTGCTAGGTAAATGTAGTTCAGTTCTGGTAATTACTATTTTTCAGAATACTTCCGATGTTTAACCATCTCTCAGTGTAACGTATGGGACCTTTCCCACTTCTCCGTTGATAAAAAACAAAAGTAAAAAATGTATATGCACTTTTGGTGTATTTTTTATGCATTTTTGGTGCATTTTCTGGTTGCCTGACTAAAAACATGCGCCGGTGAAACGTGGACATGTGACTCAAAACTGCAACCACGGTGTGTTTTTGATATGTTTTTCCATTCATTTCAATGGGGAGTTCCCTTTTTGGCTCACGTTTTAGGCTGTTTCTACACTGCTCCATTGAAAAAAATGCATCAAAAAACGCATATGCGCTTTTGATGAGTTTTCTGGTTGGCTGACTCTGAGAATTGTACCTGTGAAACATGAACATGTGACTCAAAAAAATGCACCAAGAAATGCAACCGTGGTGCCGTTTTTTGATGCGTTTTTGAGCCATGTTCTATTTATTGCAATAGGAAGCTGTGTTTTTTGTGTGGTTTCAGAAAGCACATCAAAGCTTCAGCAAGCGGGATTTTTAAAAAAAAAAACCACCCGCACTGTTAAGATTTAAAGGGAAACATTTTTCTTGTGTTTGTCCTGTGTTTTTATCAAAAAGCAGCAAAAACGCATCAGTGTGAAAGTGCCCTCAAACATGCAGCATGCAGGAATTTTAAAAATGCACCGTGCCTGCAGCTCATTGATGTGAAAAGTTCCACAAGATTTAAAGTGATACATTTTTCTTGCATTTTTTGTTCCATTTTTGTTTTAAACACCAAAAATATATCAAAAAGTGATCAGTGTGAAAGGGCCGGTTCACACTCCATGCGTTTCAGTTGATTTTTTTCTGCATCCAAAATGCACAGAAAGTAAGTTTTATGGTCGTCAGTATCATAGTTCACATCAGTGCTCACAGTTCCAGTGCGTTCCGGATGCTGGAAAGTAGAACAGGCTGCATGTTTCCTGCACACAACTGTACTAGAATGCAGAAAAACGCACTGGAACGCACATGTTCCTATTTAATCCCTTCCAGTCCGGACACTTCCCCCCCCCCCCTTCCAGTCCGGACACTTTCCCCCCCTTCCAGTCCGGACACTTCCCCCCCCCTTCCAGTCCGGACACTTCCCCCCCCCCCATTCCAGTCCGGACACTTTCCCCCCCCTCTAGTCTGGACACTTTCCCCCCCCCCTTCCAGTCTGGACACTTTCCCCCCCCCCCTTCCAGTCTGGACACTTTCCCCCCCCTTCCAGTCCGGACACTTTCCCCCCCCCCTTCCAGTCCGGACACTTTCCCCCCCCCCCCCCCCTTCCAGTCCGGACACTTTCCCCCCCCCCCCTTCCAGTCCGGACACTTTCCCCCCCCCCCCCCCCCTTCCAGTCCGGACACTTTCCCCCCCCCCCCCTTCCAGTCTGGACACTTTCCCCCCCCCTTCCAGTGCGGACACTTTCACCCCCCCTCTAGTCCAGACACTTTCACCCCCCCCTCTAGTCCGGACACTTTTTTCCCCCCTTCCAGTCCGGACACTTTTCCCCCCTTCCAGTCCGGACACTTCCCCCCCCCCCCTCTAGTCCGGACACTTTCCCCCCCTTCTAGTCCGGACACTTCCCCCCCCCCTTCCAGTCCGGACACTTTCCCCCCCTTCCAGTCCGAACACTTTCCCCTCCCTCTAGTCCAGACACTTTCACCCCCCCTCTAGTCCGGACACTTTTCCCCCCTTCCAGTCCGGACACTTCCCCCCCCCCCCTCTAGTCCGGACACTTTCCCCCCTCCTTCCAGTCCGGACACTTTCCCCCCCCTTCCAGTCCCGACACTTTCCCCCCCTTCCAGTCCCGACACTTTCCCCCCTTCCAGTCCCGACACTTCCCCCCCTTCCAGTCCGGACACTTTCACCCCCCTTCCAGTCCGAACACTTTCCCCCCCCCCTTCCAGTCCGAACACTTTCCCCCCCTTCCAGTCCGAACACTTTCCCCCCCTTCCAGTCCGAACACTTTCCCCCCCTTCCAGTCCGGACACTTTCACCCCCTTCCTGTCTGGACACTTCCCCCCCTTCCAGTCCGGACACTTTCCCCCCCTTCCAGTCCGAACACTTTCCCCCCCTTCCAGTCCGGACACTTTCACCCCCTTCCAGTCCGGACACTTTCACCCCCTTCCAGTCCGGACACTTTCCCCCCCTTCCAGTCCGGACACTTTCCCCCCCTTCCAGTCCGGACACTTTCCCCCCCTTCCAGTCCGAACACTTTCCCCCCCCTCTAGTCCGGACACTTTCACCCCCCCTCTAGTCCGCACACTTTCCCCCCCCCCCCTCTAGTCCGGACACTTTTCCCCCCTTCCAGTCCGGACACTTTCCCCCCCCCCCTCTAGTCCGGACACTTCCCCCCCCTTCCAGTCCAGACACTTTCATCCCCTTCCAGTCCCGACACTTTCCCCCCCTTCCAGTCCGGACACTTTCCCCCCTTCCAGTCCCGACACTTCCCCCCCCTTCCAGTCCGGACACTTTCCCCACCTTCCAGTCTGGACACTTTGCCCCCCTTCCAGTCCGGACACTTTCCCCCCCTTCCAGTCCGGACACTTTCCCCCCCCCCCCTTCCAGTCCGGACACTTTCCCCCCCCCCTTCCAGTCCGGACACTTTCCCCCCCCCCTTCCAGTCCGGACACTTTCCCCCCCTTCCAGTCCGGACACTTTCACCCCCCCCCCCCTCTAGTCCGGACACTTTTCCCCCCCCTCTAGTCCGGACACTTTTTCCCCCCCCCCCTTCCAGTCCGGACACTTTCCCCCCCCCCCCCTCTCTACCCTCTAGTCCGGACACTTTCCCCCCCTTTCAGTCCGGACACTTTCCCCCCCTCTAGTCCGGACACTTTCCCCCCCCTCTAGTCCAGACACTTTCCCCCCCTTCCAGTTCGGACACTTTCCCCCCCCCTCTAGTCCGGACACTTCCCCCCCCTCTAGTCCAGACACTTCCCCCCCCCCCCTTCCAGTCCGGACACTTCCCCCCCTTCCAGTCCGGACACTTCCCCCCCTTCCAGTCCGGACACTCCCCCCCACTTCCAGTCCGGACACTTCCCCCCCCCCCCCCCTAGTCCGGACACTTTCACCCCCTTTCAGTCCGTACACTTTCCCCCCCCCCCCCCCCTCTAGTCCAGACACTTTCACCCCCTTCCAGTCCGGACAATTTCCCCCCCCCCCCACTCTAGTCCGGACACTTTCCCCCCCTTCCAGTCCGGACACTTCCCCCCCCCCCCCCCAGTCCAGACACTTTCCCCCCCCCCAGTCCAGACACTTTCCCCCCCCCCCCCAGTCCGGACACTTTCCCCCCCCTTCCAGTCCGGACACTTTCACCCCCCTTCCAGTCCGGACACTTCCCCCCCCCCTTCCACCCAGTAGCTTATTCCATACTTTCCGCATACCGTAGAGTGGCCAATGCACCCCAGCAGCAGCCCTTCCAGCTTCCGTTTTTGTTTCCAGAAGGTGTTCCCCATTAGAGGTTAGACTGACTATTCATTAAAGCAGAAGTGCATCAGCCATCTTTAAGGAGACTATTTTGCAATGCTCATCTATGGGATGTCTCCATTGCAGGGGACAGCCATCTTGGCTGGGATTGATTTGATACTGGGGGATGGACGCTGGCCATGGGATCCCAGCAGCAGTCCTTCCAGCACAGGCTTCATTTCCAGAAGTTGTTCCCATTAGAGGTTAGACTGAATATTCATTAAAGCAGAAGTGCAGCAGCCATTTTTAAGGAGATCACTTTGTAATGCTCATATATGCAATGTCTCCAGTGCAAGGGGCAGCCCTCTTGGCATGGTCTGATTCAATACCAGGGTGCGGACGCTGACCAATGAACACCACCAGCAGCCCTTCCAGCTCCAGTTTAGTTTCCAGAAGGTGTTCTCCATTAGAGGTTAGACTGACTATTCATTAAAGCAGAAGTGCATCAGCCATCTTTAAGGAGACTACTTTGCAATGCTCATCTATGGGATGTCTCCAGTGCAGGGGACAGCTATCTTGGCTGGGATTGATTTGGTACTGGGGGACCGACGCTGGCCATGGGATCCCAGCAGCAGTCCTTCCAGCACAGGCTTCATTTCCAGAAGTTGTTCTCATTAGAGGTTAGACTGAATATTCATTAAAGCAGAAGTGCATGAGCCATCTTTAAGGAGACTACTTTGCAATGCTCATCTATGGGATGTCTCCAGTGCAGGGGACAGCCATCTTGGCTGGGATTGATTTGGTACTGGGGGACGGACGGTGGCCATGGGATCCCAGCAGCAGTCCTTCCAGGATATATATATATCTCAGATAGTCATCTCCTATGAGGTCATGTACACATTATCCCAATATTCTAATAACAAGTGAATGTGAAATAACCGACACTAACAAATGACAGTTATTTAGGGTGCCAAAAATGGTGAGCGTGCTCCATGGTCTGCTCCAGACCCAAGGGCCCCAAGGCATTAGTTGCTCCTCCATCTGTAGCCATGCTACGCCTGAGGCTGCCGATTGAGTGTCAGCTCTGCGGGTGGTGGTGACACGGGGGAGGGGGGGGGTGGTTGGGATCCTTATGTTTTGGCTGGCAGGCTGTGCAGGTGAGTCATTGTTATTTGATCAAACAAAAACCTGAGTAAAGAGGCGGCAGGAGAGCGGTGTAGGCTGATGGGGGGGGGGGGGGCGCACAGGGGGCTCAATTCACTAAGTTATGAAATACGTGTTTTCAGATGTGACCATTATTTTAGCTGCTAAAAATAATTACTGCTATAGCTGAACTCTTGGCAGTAAAATGTTCCTCAAAATACATTCCTCAACAGAGACTAAGGATATAAATCTACTTTTGTTTCCTTTTTTGCACCAAATGCCTTTGCAAACCCAGATATTATCTTGTAAAAGTAGCAGTGACATCATCACTGGGCTGTGCAAAGAGCAGAGCTGTGCTATATAAATGAAAAAGTCCAAACATTTTGAAAAAAAGTTTTTTATTATACAATTTTGCAAATAAATAATATTTCATCATAAATCTTGGCCAAAATGTATCTTTGTAGTAAAACAAAATAATCCAAATTAGTAATATAACCAAAAATTAAAATTTTTAAAAACATTTTTTTTTACATTTTTATTTTTTTTTATATTATTATTTATGGTTTTTTTTTTTTTTTACATACTGTCACCCTAGCAGTGCAGTGTCACATGGTACAAAGCTGTTGTGAATGGCCCTGTACCATGTGATCTCTGTGATCATTCACAGATTTCACACGTAGTAAGCAATGATGTCAGAAGTGAAATCTTGCTTACACCTATTCATGTGATCACTGATCGGCCAATTAGTGATCACATGATCAGGACCTCACACAGAGGTCCCGTACAGCGATCGGTGTTCCGCTATGACCGGATCGCGGTGCCGCGCACTCCCAGGGAGCACGCACAATTCAAAATGGCGGGCGCCATTTATGAACTGCAACCCGCCCCTGCACTGCCACCGTGTGGCCGTTTTATATATAGCAGCCAGACGGGAGGTGGTTAATGATGGACACTTTCAAATGTGCTTTGCTGTCTGAAGAGCAGTCAGCATTTGGATCGTTCTTCAGAGAGCATTTGACAGGCAGTGAGGACGCATATTACCACGTGTAGCTCCAATCTCGTGAGGACCGCTGTTGTGAGTATCCCTAAGCTTCCCTCCGCACAGCCAGGCGACAGGTATTTCTCACACAGACTTGCATCCAGAGGCAGTGACCAGTCCATGGGCTTGGTTTTGTTGTATTATTAGGGGAAACCCACTTGGATAGGGAAATAGGGATTATGGGACGCCCAGTTTGGCTTGAATCAATGGAAGGCGGATACATCCCTCCTATGTACAAAGCAGACCCGGGACTGTTTTTTTTTCCTGAAAGCCGTCAGTCATTATGGATAAGTAGCAGCCTCCCTGGGGTGAGGAACCCCTATGGGCGAGGAACCCCTATGGGCGAGGAACCCCTATGGGCGAGGATCCCCTATGGGCGAGGAACCCCTATGGGCGAGGAAACCCTATGGATAAGGAATCCCTATGGGCGAGGAACCCCTATGGACGAGGAACCCCTATGGACGAGGAAGCCCTATGGACGAGGAAGCCCTATGGACGAGGAACCCCTATGGGCGAGGAACCCCTATGGGCGAGGATACCCTATGGGCGAGGATACCCTATGGGCGAGGAAGCCCTATGGATGAGGAACCCCTATGGGCAAGGATCCCCTATGGGCGAGGATCCCCTATGGGCGAGGAAGCCCTATGGGCGAGGGAACCCCTATGGGCGAGGAACCCCTATGGGCGAGGCACCCCTATGGGCGAGGCACCCCTATGGGCGAGGAAGCCCTATGGGTGAGGAACCCCTATGGGCGAGGAACCCCTAAGTGTGAGGCACCCCTATGGGCGAGGAAGCCCTATGGGTGAGGAACCCCTATGGGCAAGGAACCCCTATGGGCGAGGAAGCCCTATGGGGGAGGATTCCCTATGGGCGAGGATCCCCTATGGGCGAGGAAGCCCTACAGACGAGGAACCCCTATGGACGAGGAACCCCTATGGACGAGGAACCCCTATGGGCGAGGAAGCCCTATGGACGAGGAACCCCTATGGGCGAGGAAGCCCTATGGACGAGGAACGCCTATGGGTGAGGATCCCCTATGGGCGAGGAACCCCTACGGGCGAGGAACCCCTATGGGCAAAGCAGCCCTATGGACGAGGAACCCCTATGGGTGAGGAAGCCCTATGGACGAGGAACCACTATGGGTGAGGAACCCCTATGGGCGAGGTTTCCCTATGGGCAAGGAAGCCCTATGGGCGAGGAAGCCCAATGGACGAGGAACCCCTACGGGCGAGGATCCCCTATGGACGAGGAACCCATATGGGCAAGGATCCCCTATGGGCGAGGAACCAGCAACTGGTCAAAAATCACTTCACTTCTCGTAGCTACATGCAGAGACGTCTTCGCTCCCCCTTTAGAACAGCTCCCATCTCTACAGCCTGCAAGCACTACCAGCCCTCCTGGCTTCTCGGAAGATCTCCCGGGACAAGGATTGCGGACTGAGCCCAGCGCTGTCCTTAGAAAGCTTGCTACGTGTGTCAGTCCTTCCCCTTGTAGATCCCAAAGTGTGCTGCTGTACTCACACTGTCCTCTTTGCTCCCTACTGCTCCAGGCCTTGATCCCATCCACGCCTCTCCGCAGAATGTATCCTCCTGAGCCAGCCCGAGTCTAGTGTAGAGGCCGACCCCCTCTCCCAGACCTAGGGGACCCCTCCTAGACACCAACAGTCTCTTCAGCACTCCATCTTCCACCCGACTTCCCTGTCAGCCCAACTCTCTCATATTTATAGCCCAGTCCACCACTCTACCAAGGCCTCCAAACCTGGGATTGGCCGGACCTACCATGAATATGCAGATTAGGCCTCCACCCCTTCCTGCTTACTGACTTCTGGAAGGTTCTATGGGCCTCCAGAGTTATGAGGAGGCGATAGAGCCACAACCTGTTGAGTCTTCCAGCTGACCTTCAATAATCAACTGTGGGTGTAGGATTATAACTTTTTTTTTTTATGGTTGAACTGGATGGACTTTTGTCTTTTTTCAGCCAGACTAACTATGTAACAATGTAACTATGTAACCCGACCT